TATTTTGGTCTCTAGTCACATTATATACTTCTGTACTATTATCAATATGAAGTGATGCCAATAAATATTTAAAATTAAAATTTTGACGATGAATATATTTAATATTATGCTTCAAAAATGTAAAATCCAGTAATTTTTCCCAATTATACATTGTATAAGTTACTATCTTGCAATTCTTTTTTCTAGAACAGAATTTAAAATGATTTTTGTTTGGATGTATAGTTTGCGATAAAAATTTGGATAATTCATCATATGGCTGGCGAATAGTTGGTGCAAGTCCTTTAAAAAGAAGGAGAGGCGGAATTATCAGAGTTCTGTTTAAAAACCATGCCAAGAATATTGCATTTTCTAATGCAATTCTTTGATTATTGAAACCATCATGGGGAAGGTAGGTTAAATATTTTTCCGTATTAATTGCTAAATTACTAACATTATCTGATTTTTCATCTTTAATAATAAAATTAATTATAAATAGAAATAGAATCACAAAAATAAAAATCAATCGAATCTTAATTGCTCTGAAAGTCATTCGAGTTCAAAAGGCTCACGATTTTCGTCTGATTTTATAAGTTCGATGTTATAGTTCAATTTTAAAATGCAAGCTTATATTACAACACTGGGAGAACAGTAAACATATATGTGTGCACAGGTTGGTTTACGAACGCTCTGTTACAAATACTTGTTTACTTTCTAGATTCACTACCAATCAAATTTCGTTTTATCCTTTTTGACATCAAATTAGCACAATCAATTTTGTCGTACATAAAACTAGCTAATGTATTTTTTTTAGTATCCACAGGACGAAAATGATACAGATATAATATGTAGATATTAACAGTTTATGCTGGCTAGAATTTTGTACGCGCAGATCAGTATATAAAAGTAAATCCGTGTGGTATTTCGTTTGTGAGATTCATTGAATTTTGTAGAGCGCGTAGCTTATCGTTATTGTTGATTCAAAATAATTAAATTATCATTATTGTATCATGCACAAGATTAATGAAACTTGTTTTGAGTAAGGAAGATGGATTCTAATTGGTTGATTAATGTAAGACATTAGTCTGTTATCTATCTGAAAATTTTGCTAAAGGTCACCGTTGACTAGAGTTTCTGGTGAAACTAAATCATGTTGGTGAAACTGGTGACTATCTAAAATCTGATTGGTTATTAAAGCAAAAACCAATCAGATTTTGAATAGTCACCAGTTTCACCAGCACAATTTAGTTTCTAATTAGTTGGTTGTTATTTGGTTGTTATTTTGAATAGGTTTTGGTGCTGTATATTTATGTAAGTGTAAACTTTTTAATATAGTGCGTATTGATATGACTTTAAGGATAATCAGAAAACAAACATGTCGATAAGAAAAGTATGCAAAGATTACTGTTTTGGGTTTACACCTTTGTACTAAATTAGGTACACTTTAAAAAAATTATATATTTAAATTTTTTTATATAAAAGGATTTACTACAAAGTATAGAATAGTTTAATATCATTTATTTTCATATTATTAATAAAATTTTTTTTTTTTTTTATATAAGGTATTGCATTTAAGGAGGTAAAAATCTATAAGTATTATATGAGTTGGGGCTAAATAAGGCCATGCATTTAGAGAGGTTTTTTTATAGACTATGCATTTAGGGAATATGCATTTAGAAAGGTCTGACTGTCTAGAGTTTTTTACAAATTTTAAGTATGTACACTTTTATGATGTATTTTTAATAGTAACTTTTATGAAAAAAATTTTGTCATGCAAAAAGTAAAAAAATTCTATTGCCTTTACAAAAATATTTTAAATCTATAAGCTTTTAATCACAGCATTATCAATATCTATAAAATTTTTAAAAAATATTAAAATATATAATTTGTTTGGAAAATTATTAAATAAATAGTTTTAAAGACAGTTTTTGTACTAGTTTTAGTATAGTAAATCCAAACTATATATTAACTTTTCCATTTTATAATTTTAAGTTCATTTACTACATACCGTACGTATTAAAAATATTTAATTACGTAAAAAAGTTCAATTGAATTTCAATAAAATCATGGTCTCACCTTAGCATTAAAAAAAAAAAAATTTTTAATACATTAGATGAATCCAAAGCGATGTGTTCCTTTGCCTGTAAATGTTTTATAGGCAATTATACTTTCGAGAAATTTATTCGGAAAACAGTTTAAGGGATAATATTTTATATTCGTGTTTTCATTAGAATAGATTTTTTCTTTAAAGCTGTTTTCATAAATTCGGGAAAATTCGCTTGTTTTTACGTAAATTTTTTTAAATCGATCAACATCATACATATCGATATGTAACGTGAACCGCAAATTGTTTTTTTTTTCTTGTTATTATGTATACATCTTCAAACCATTGAATACTGGGACTAACAAAATTTCTAGCGCAAAACATTGGGATCTCGAAACATATCGAATCTGACAGAAACTATACGAATCTATATAGTGCACTCGATTGATCATTACCAAATCACACGTAATAATTCTAAGAAATATAAACCCCAATCAGAAATTTTAGTATCTCTTAATTGTAAGCTATGTAAAATGTAAATTTTTATTGTGGGCATTCCAGAGACTTGATATTTCCGCTAAAATTGTTTTAATTGGCTTTATTACACCAACAAAACATATTTTCATATAATGCATTAATAAATGCACCTGTAAAATAATTCCATTACCAAGAAATAATACAGAGAAGCCTCCCTAAATGAACCCCCCTCGGGACCATAGTAAAAAATTTCAAAAATGTGCACTTAAAGAGGGTGTGCATTTATGGAGGGTACACTTAGAGAGGTCTCTCTGTATACCGAATTACTATTTCATAATCGGAATAATTTCATAAAATAGTGCAGTTTCAGTAGTTGACCCTTCCCATCCCCTATTTCCAGATGTTGTAATCATATATCGACAATTTGGATCAATCACTAAAATGAATTATGGATTAAAATTCTTAATAATGAGTTAAACCTACGCACATATATATTATATATAAAAGGATACAGATTTGTGATATGGATCCGCCGTGATGCCCTGGAACGATAAGAAATGGAACAATTGACTTTATAGCCTCGGATTCATCGTTGCCAACATTCCATAATCTTATGTTATCTGTTGATGCACTGTGAAATATTTACGAAAAGATGTATATTATTATAGTAATCAGATATAACGTAATCAACATATAAAAGCAACTCATACCATACGATATGTCTACCGTTGGGCATGCTAGCCACACAAGACACTGGACCTGAATTACTTGGCATTTTAAATGAGCGAGTATGTTTGCCTGAAGCAAAATCCCATTCATCCACTAGCCATGAATTTCCACTATAATGTTAATATGATTACTTTCCGTAAAAAAAATATATATATATATATGAATAAAGGTAAAAATTCACCGGTTCCGTTACGTCGCCCACAGTAAACTTTATTACCATCGGCACTCCAACAAGCCTATGATTTTAACAAATTTATTTTTATTTTTATTTTTTTTAGTTACGATATTAATTAAGGAGACAAAACTTATATGGTATTTTGATAAATAAACATACTGATAAACACCATGGTGGCGTTTTTTCGGGAAGCGGCAGCTTTCTCGGCGGTATCAAATTTCCTGACCTTTTATCCCATACAAGACAATTGCCGTCGATGCTCGTGGTAAGTAGTATATCACCAGAATGTGTTATCGTATTATCCGATTCTTCGTACACTGTGTCAGTTGATGTGGGTGAACTTTGTATTGATGTTTGAGATGATGATGATGATTGTGTAATAGGCCGAAACGCTATTGAACTAATTTGGGAACTATGACCAGGATACTCTCGCACAATTTGCCCAGTGTTAAGATCCCAATGCTATAATTGGCATAGTTTGCATAAGTGTGCTCGCTGAAAAATAATCAATATAAAAGACATACCAATATGGTTTTGTCCCATGAACCGCTCACAAAACCCGTCTCATCATTAGTTATCTTCAAAACTGATACGGGCGATTTATGTTTTCGCATGACATGGTGACACCTTCCTTCTTCGTGTCTAACGGTAAATAAATTGATAGCGCCGCTCTAAAATCATACGTTAAATTAAACTTTAACATCACAATCAAAATATTCATATTGCAGTTCACCGAGGTTTATAACTAATAACTCTGCCTTAAACGCAAAAAAATAAGGTCTTGGCATGAAATTCTAACAACCCATAAGTGACTTAGCAAGCTACTGATGGTAAAGCATATTTTATTAATTCTTAATATAAAATAATTTTGTAAAAGTCAAAATACTGAATTATCTGGATTCCAAAAAGTTTGCAATTTCATTGTTTGTTTATGAGTTGTCGGAATTTAAATATCTATATATAACCTCATTGACTGTTCTGACGCGTACCTCTAAACCACTTAATAACCAAACGGCTTCAGATTGTACTGCTAAACTATAAACGGGTGACATTTTTAACTCCGGCAATGGTGGTTCCTGTACATTTTGTGTGACATCATCTTCTGCTATCCCGTCAGGTTTTTCTACAATTATGATTTTTGATATAATAAGTAGGTAAAAATTACTATCGAGACATATCTATGGCATACCAGGTTTGACTGTGACTGGTAAAGTTTCCGGTATTTCCTCATTTTCCCAATATGATAATATTACACCTGCCTATGTATAAACATAAAAGATACTATAATTTGAATCACACCGTTAATTTAGTACCTCCTGTGCAAACGATCTCGTTTTTTTACCTACCGCACCTTTTGAACAGATTCAACTTGTGTATGTTTCTGATTTTGTGTTAGCAATGTTTTACCACCCATTGAAGAAAAAAAATCGTATTTTCTTATAAATCCATCCTCTCCACCCGTAAAAACCCATCGCATGTTTTTTGTTGCATCAAGTGAATGTATATGGCAGGCATGAATGGCTGCGACCTGCATGCAATTAAATTTAAAACAATGAAATAAATAAAAAATGCGCCAGCTGTATACCAACTTACTAATGGAACTATGTCGTAGGTTTTACAATCTTCCGCAAACGGTTTTCGATTCGGTGGCAAAATTGACGAAGCAGTACTATTAAATGGTTGTAAAGTCTCGTCGAGGCCATATTCCTCTGAAGTGCAATGCCATATAATAAGTGTATAGAAATTAAGAGAGAATTCATTTTGAAAAGTACCTTCTGAAAAGGGACTATGTTCGCCCGCTTCAGCATCTGAACTTTGTTGAGAATCTCTAGAGTCTATTTCGTCGTCGCTATCAGCTTCCATTTCGGAATTGAATTTCGATTTCTACGTAGCGATCTTAGTTTAAACTGCAACTATTACGTAATCATGTTTAATCACGTGCTTGAGATTACAAGGAAGATGATTTTCTGTATTCCAGTTTATTTTTAACATAATTACAATTGATAATATGGATTCTCATGAAGTTCAATTTTATCTTGTTAGAGGAAAGCCCGCGAAAAATAATGGCCGTTTCCTGTTTCAGTACCCGTGCAAGACCTGAATAAAAGAATGCAAGTTCAAAGTGATTAACACATGCCATCAAATACAGCGAAGGTGTAATATTACCTGGTTTCATGAAATGATTTCTATAGTGGATGAACGAGAAACGGCCATTGTTACGCGAAATTTTCACCAGCATTTTTCGTAGAATCGCATCTAACAATGCACATTTCACCGATTAAAAACCTACACTATACTCCAAAAAGATACATTGCAGGAAAAAGGATATAATAACTGCATACGGATTCATGTGATTCAGAATCCAAATTCAGTCCCAAGCTAGTTTTTTAAAGATACCATCTGATTAATCTGTAGTCATGGCATCTTATGGCAATACTACATAACGTCTTCTGCTTAACTTTTAATTATCATTAAGGAAATTGATAACGAATCACACTCCGAAGTATCAATATTATTGTCTTTGATTAACTCGATTTTGCAATCAAAAAGAAAACGTCAAGTTATATAAGGATGTCTTTTTCCATTATACTGTTTATTTGTGTAGTTTTAATTTTTTTTTTTTGCGTGGTCATGAAAATAGGTTTGTTTTTACTTCTCAAGCTCTAGAGAATAATTTGAGGGAAAGCATACCTTGATGAAATACGAAGAATAACCCGCTAGAAACCGGGAACCGAGCTATGACAAGTAACGGTGGAGTGAGAGACTAGGTTGGAGTTGCCTTCCCAACTAGTGTTTTTATTTTTTTGTTTTTACTATGTATAATAACTAGCCAGTATTTTTTTCTAGTACCCACGGATGCTGGAATAAGGGTGTTCTCAAGCATCTCAATCAATCAATTAAATAATGATCATGATAACGCTCAAGCATCTCAGTCAATGACG